ATGCAGATGATGTTGTAGTAATATTTACTGGTGACTCCCGAGATTCTGTTCGTAGATCTTCTGAAGGAGGCCTTGCTAAGACCGCTAAGTGGCGGAACACTAACTTACTTTAAATACTTTGAAAACTAGTTATATATGTTTTACAAATTATATTCGAACTTAGCCTAATAATTATTTCCAAATTAAACTTCACACATGCTATGATCCCTTAAGTACTAGTTGCAGCTGTTCATTAATTACTAAGGTCTTTCTTCTTCTAGTAATACCAAGTATTTAGGAATTAGGAGTCATAGTTGAGCAACATTTGTCATGGCATAGACATATTGAATTAGTATATTGTATTCCTGTATGGGGTGGAGCTACAAAAACCAAATTTCTAGAAGTTGAAAGGGCACAGAGAAATTTACTAAAAATTATGCATTATAAACCAAAAAGATGATCAAACCAGAGATGATCTTTATGTCATAAGTAATGTACTTACGGTTAGGAAACTGTACATCTTATATTCAGTTCTGAAACTGAATTAAGATATAAAGTTTAACCGTTGTATTATAGCCAAAAGAAGGAAAAAGGTAGTGGCTACAGTTGTCGCTGCTAAAACTGTTTCAGCTGGGAGGCAATACGTAAAACAGTAAGTAACTCTATACAACTCCATTAATAAAAGCATAAAAATTCATCACCATAATTGCTAATACGTTCTAACCAAATGGCTATTTCATAAGAGCTATGATGATACTGAGGCTCTTTTAAGCAATATGAAATAATGTAATTTATTTATAACACATACGCACACCCGCGTGCACGCACTCACTCACTCACACATACTAACTCTCTCTCTCTCAAACACACACACACACACACACACACACACACACACACACACACACACACACACACACACACACACACACACCCAAACACACGCGCACGCGTGCACACGCCTATGTATACCTTTGGCGTGAATATTATTAGTTTATTTTTTATTTTTTAGTTAATTATTGTGTAAAGATCATGTAAATAGTAATGTAAGTGCTATGGAAGAGTGGATTCTGCTAACACAAAGGAGACCTCATCCCGGTTATAATTTATGTATGATCGTTTACTGAATAACCTTTTGAAGTGAAACTTCTTTAGCGGCATTGTACACTTTTTTTGTAATGGGTAAAAATGTTAAACTCGCGTCATGACACGTGACCTGATCGAAAATTCGTAAGACGAAAACTTATTTAGGTGCGTTGTATACTTTTTAGTTATGGGTAAAAATGTTAAACTCGCGTCAGGACACGTTACCTGATTGAAAATTCGTAAGACGGATGGAGAGTAGACAGCCGGCGCGACGAAGGAGAAGATAAAATTTTTAATGTAATATAAATTGTCATGTTTGTTGTTACAGCGATATGCTGGCTTGAGTACTCGTTCATTGTAATAAACAAAAAGTAACAGTTCAACAACAAAACAAAAACGTAACAAAGTCTAACAACAAACAATAATTATGTACAATAAGTAGATTTACTTAAAACCAGGAATGTTATCACAACGCAGAGCGAGGGACGACTGCTCGACGGCACAAGCGCACACTGCACCCTTTTTACCTGGAGACAGCCGTTATTCTGTCTCGCTCGCACTGTTGTGCACAGCGTTTTTTACCTGCTCACACAAAGGATGCTTGTGCTTGCTTACGATTCCTTGAATTATTGAAGAATTTTATCTTACTCACTGGAATGGGTGTTTAGTTATCTAATATCGGGTAGAGGCACTTTGAACAGTTACATTCAAATTATCATAGCTCCTAAACTATCTAACTCAGAGTTAAGACTTAAATGTGCATTTATAGCAAATATCCTGTGTTATAATAAAAACAAGTAAAAAAAATTGGTTAACACGATGGTTTTTTTTAAAGCTAAGAATCTGAAAAACAACATCAATTTGTTGTCGAATTTATTTTTTTCAAAAATGTTTTTTACTAATACTGAAAAATTAAAAAATAATATTTTGAATCTAGATTTATTGTCTACACTATTAACTAACATTTGAGACTAATTTTGTTTTTGAAAGTCTTCTACTTGGGTAGATATTGTTAAATTAATACAAGCATCTATGCTTCGCCAACAATTTTTTTTAAAGTGCTGCCATTTTTTTATTGATGGCGAAAAAAAATCATTGATCCCTGATTTGTCGATAAAATTAATTGTATTTTAACCCCTTAAAGTATCGGATATCGGAAACCGGACACATTTGTCCATTGAAACGGCACTTTTTTAAGCCTATATGTAGGTATAGGTCGCTGGCGGGTCTTATTTATTGTGAGCACAATTTTAACTTATATCAGAAACTTTTATCTGGTAAAAGTAGTATTTCTTTTCGTGGTAGAGCCACGCTGCAACTATTATATGTTTGTCGCACGAATGGATCGACTCGACCGGGGTAGGACCAGGCTCTCACAGAATATCAGTGTGAAATAGCAGATTTATATTGCTGTGCTTCGTATGGTGAGTGTAGAGAACCGGAAGACGTTTTTCATTTTTTTCACCCAAAATTGTTACAAACATTATCAGAATAGGAAAGTTTCGTAAATTTAACAAAATAAATAATTAATTTTTACTGCCTCTATTTAGCATATTTTATCACAGTTTAATCACCGTCAGCAGGATTGAATTTGATATCTCTATGGTACGTGATGGCTTATCTTGTGCTGTTAAGATGAAGTTAAAAGTGAGGTAAAATAAATTATTGATGAATCAAAAATATTTTTTCGTCATCTCAAGTTACGGGAAACGGGAGCAATGCGGACAGGCTTTTTCAGTTCCAAAACTCTCACTCTAATGAGAGAAGACCTTTGCACTTTGCAATTAGTTGGTTATTAGATGTTTTTTCTGCAATAATAACTAAGTTATTTCATTCATATTCATAGTCATTGCAATTACACTATTATTATGTCACTATGCAATTAAATTATTAAGCTATTACATGGTGTTTGCGTGGTAAGACAATATTTATTGTATCATAATACCGTGAATGCAAGTTGTGAATTTAAGAATACGTGAGTGCCATAAGAGACAACGGACGAAAATAAAACAGCAGGGCAGCAGCATCTTCCTGATATCAAGAGAAAATAATAAAAACTGCGACAGCCAACCCGCTGACCAAGCATGACAACTATGGCTAATATCCGCTTAACAATATATGCTTAACAATCACTCCAGTGGTCGTTCACCGTTATCTGAACTCAAGTCTAACGTCACTTAGCACAAAACTATAATCGAAGAGAAACGCGATCTCCTCCCGGATCACAAAGTTTACCGTTGCTCCCGAAAAGCAAAAATTCCTTCGTACGATATTAAAATACTACACAAGCCACTCGTTGACGCAAATTAATGGCAATCGAAGTTAAGTTAATCACTCAAAACTCAAGTCAAGCCTCGTTGTCACTTATATGAACGAAATAAGACAACCCAAAGGAGGCAGTCTTAATGCGACGTAACAATTCTAACCGACACGGCCGTCGCGTACAAGGATTATTCTAGACTAAAAAGCTCGGCCGCCGCACGTTGGCTCAGACCGTCAACTCGGTTCCTCGCCCGAGACGAGCGTTCTCGCAAGTTTCAAATTGTTTACGATTTGGTCTAAACAAACCCTCGTCCCGGGCATAAGGACTTATGTCCGCGAGTAAATTGGCAAACGGGATAGGGTCGCGACGGTACGTTGCAAGACCGAATCTCCAACCAAAACCTCGGCCATCCTGGGAATCCCATCTAGTCCATACGACAACTTAACAATGCGCCCACGGCGCCAATACAAAAGCAAAGCGTTGGGTTCCTTAAGTAACACGAGGTCTCCAACACGAGGAGGATCCGTCTTGTCAGACCACTTAACGCGCTGCTGCAAAAGATGAAGGTACTCCAGAGACCATCGGTGCCAAAAACTCTGAGTCATTTGTTGCAGCAGTTCAAATCTGCTCAACCGCGACGAGTTTATTTCCCTGAAGGGGTACTCGGGCAGGGCGTTAAGCGGCTGGCCTATCAGGAAGTGGCCCGGGGTTAGAACCTCCAAATTAGACGAGAGTCCAAATTAGTCCCTAAGTCGTATCGGTCCGGAAAATTGCCGGTGGTAGACAATTCCACAGAAAAGTTTTTATTTTTATTCTGACTCCCCATCTGAAGGATGATGATGACATAGAGAGAGAACGGAGGGTGTTGTTAGTAAGAGATGACATGATAGCTAGCAAGTTTTCACGCTGTTCAAAGAAGTTAAAATAACCCTTTTTAGAGCTTTCTGTACTTCATTTTACACGTGCAGCCTATGGGCTAGATATACTCAAAAGGCTTACAACGCCCTCCAACTATAATACAACAATACGTTGAAGGTGTTGTTAGGATTGCCTCGCTTCTGCAGTACATCGGGGATGTTCGCGGAAGCGCGAGTGCATAGTTTTTATGCGACTATGCGCATGCGCGTTTCTAGTGCGCAGGGTGCGGGGAGCAACAACTGCATCCTGAAAATGATTGCGGCCAGACTGGACTCCTCATGTAGTGTCATATGGGAGGGAGAGGGAGAAAAAGCCATATATAAATGTATTTTTTTCTCCACAAATATTGTTATATACATATATGTATTATGCCTACATACCTAGTTATAAGATAATTATAATTAATACCAAGATAATATGAGTCTTAGTTGCTTAGATAAATGAATTATTGATTGATTGATTGTTAACACCTGGCATAAAATAACCATATCGACGACTACAAGCGGCATCAAAGAAAAATTAATAGTAAATTTCTAATTCATTTTTGTCAGTTTTATGTCTGTCACGTACTTAAAAACTACGTATGTATATAAATTACTCTAAGCTGTTGAATGTTGAATGACAACTTGTATATTGTCATAAACCTGTTACATGTCAGTCCCTAAACAGTAATTCATAGAAGTGATAAAAATATATTTTTTGGATTACTGCATAAAAGCGATTACAACGGTGATACAGATAGATCTCGTGGAAAATGGAATCTCTGAATAGGAACATGGCGACCGTAGTTATTAAGCTTGACTTAGCTAGTTCAGGTATAGCTCTTTTGAATTATATTATAGGTTTTGCTATCCCTCGCCCATAAAACCGACTAATACCTATCAGAAAAGAGGCTAAATAGCAGAGTACTATCTCTTATATATCTAAAGTAAGAGTATGTAATAATTTCTTATATTTAGGCGCACACTAACATTGAATAAAACTACATTAACAGATTTTATTATTTGAATTATTTTTATTTTACATTGCTACACAGCACCCATGATCACTTGGCGGTTGAAAATTGGTAAAAGTATTTTTATTCAGTAAGAATTTACTTACACCAACGATGGAAAGTTTTAAATATTGCGATACATTGCTACCGCAATCTTATAAAATGTAAAACCTCCTTTAAGACGCAAATTTGTTGTTTTATGTACGTAATACTATATGTTGTTGGAATTTAATTGTTTATTAGACGGGAAATGTGATACACATGTACTCATCCACACAATTTTTAATATTCATTTCGTATATAAACTGACCGAGTTCTCCTTTTACGGACATTCCCAAAGGTTGTTGTGTTTAAGTAAGATCTTGTTTTGTTTTCCATATCTGTACTAACTAATAGTAAGATATTATCCACCAAGCAAATGCTATCAATATGGTATAAGTTACTAGACGACTGTCATGGTTAATAATGATAAAATGACAAACTATTTGATAAACTTTTGCAATATTTTACAGAGACCAGCAAATTGGATAGTAATTGATTAAGGGTTGTATTACGGTTGTTGCTTGAACATTTCATTCGACCTTGTAACCTAGAAATAAAAAAAATAATGATAAACTTTTTTCCTACTTGTTTAATAAATAAAAAATTGATGCAAAAACACTTCCCCGTTTAACCGTAATAAACGTGTTTATTACATTATATTCATATTTATATTCAGTATTAACCGGAATTCCCTTTTTTTAAATAATTTATATGCAAAAGTGAGTTTTTGGATTTGTCGTTTTTTCACGCATCACCGGAGCAACAGATCGATATGATTTTTTTGCATAGATATTGTTACGAGCTTAAGGTTCGTGACAATTAAAAATTGCCGATTGAATTACCAAAATTAACACTTTAATTCATTTTACATTAATTAAATTTAAAACACTAATAATTAATCACACTGATTCACTTTATTCCGCTCCGAAGCTTCGCTTGTCTCGCCAAATTCAATACTTCCCCGATCGCATCTTGCAGCGCTTATAAATACCCGTTAGCACCGAAACATCCAGAATATTCAAGTAAACACGCGCAAGGCGTCGAAAGTTCGAGTGTCGGCTTCTAGAAGCTTAGTTCTTCGTTTCGACACTAGATGGCGCTGTCGATTGAAAGATTAGTGATGTCATTTTCTGGAAAGTTCCCCCCGCTCTCGTCCGTGACACAACATGACGTCAACTTAGGCACGCAACACTGCCCCCTCCTAAGACATGCTCGTCCCGAGCATTATCGGCCCCATAATAATGCGCCAGGCATCCACATGGACGATCTTAGGAGTCCCTCTTGCGTCTTTCTGTAACGGCTCCGCAATGTCAAGGGCTGTCCTATCCCATGGTGCACCAACATTGTACAATTTCGATGCTCCTCTACTACGTGTCTGAGGTCCCCTCACAGTCCCCTCCCCGCATAACTTGTACATGTATGACACCAACCCTCGACATCGTCACGATAATGGACCCAGTAAAACTGTTCTCAGACCTTCAGTAGAGTTTGTTTAATCCCCAGGTGGACTCTTGAACGGCCATTATGGCACAGCTGTAGAACATTCGGCACTTTAGCTTTAGGGACAACCATTTGCAAACGACAGCTGTCTCCTCGACCATTGTCCCATTTACGGCACAGGACTCCATCCTGAATTAGCAAGCGGTCCCATTGGGTCCAATAGCTTTTAGTGGTTGAACTCATCGCTGAGACTTCGCTCCACTTAGGCTTGCTAGCACGGGCCATCATCCATTCCAGAATCGGCTTGATGTCCGGATCTTCCTGCTGTGCATGTCGTAGGCTGTCCTTCCACTCGTTGCTGAGGTGGTCTGTTCTGAGCATCTTCACGGATACCATTTCCTTACTCTCTTGCCTAGTACAATGTTTCCAATCTTCAGGACAAGGTCTTCTTGACAATGCATCTGCGTTGCCATGAGATTTCCCGCTGCGATGTTTGATAGTAAAGTCGTATCCCGGTTGCTGCTGGGCGGTGATGTTAGCCCCACTTCCCTTCTGAGATAGTTCACCTTCCCTTTCTAGGGTTCGCTTAGGGCAGCTGGATCGAAGATTGCCCCTTTCCCTACAGCCATAGCACGTAGGGCTGTATCCTTTATTGATGTGGTCGCGAACCGTAACTGCTGCAACATCCCTAGCGTGAGGGGAACGATGATCCTGCTACCACCAGGTGGTGCCGTTAGCTGCACTACCCTCTCGAGATCGGTCAACTTTCCTTTCTACAGATCGCTTAGGGCAGCTGGATCGAAGATGGCACTTTTCCCCACAGCCATAGCACCTAGGGCTGAATCCTTTGTTGCGTCGCAAACTGTAGCTGCTGCAACCTCCCTGACACGATGGGAACGATGATCCTGCCGCACGGCTTCCACCTCCAGTGCAGTAGCCAAGGCATCCTTAAGCGTCTCGTGGTGCCCGAGCCTCACAGCAGCTCTGACTTCCAATTCGCGGATGCCGTCGATGAATGTCTGCACCAGGTTCCCTTCAATGAGCGCAGGTACAGATCAGTATGCTTTTCGCACCAGCTTCTCCACCTCTAGAGCCCACTGCTGCAGGTTTTCATTGATGCACTGCACGCGATCTTTAAGCTGCGCACGAAAGACGTGTTCCAGGTGAGCGTCGCCATATCTCGCCTCTAATGCCTCAAGGAGTTGCTCATAAGTCGTTTCCTCACCGAGAGCTTCCAGAACTGTTAAGGCCTGGTCGCGCAGGCCTACTGTGAGAGCAGTCATGGCCTTACTTTTATTCCAGCCGTTTGCCTTCATAACATCCTCGAACTGGATTTTGTAGGCCGACCAGGAAGAAGTCCCGTCGAACGGTGGCACCTTGAACCCACGTAGCGAAGGTGTTGTAGCTACTGCGGGGGCTGCAATTCCATCTCCAAGTTTGAGTTCATCCAGCGTTTTCTTAACTTGGTTGATTTGGGTCTCAGCTTCCGACAGGCGGTTATCATGTTGAGCAACCTTATCCTTCACCTCCCTTATCTCTCCCGAAGGTAACGTGAAGGTCCTTCATGAGAAGCATCTGCTCTTCCTTGTCGCGTTTGAGCTGCTCTTCTAAGCGGCGGGCCTGTTTCTCCTGTCGCCGGGCCTGTTCTTCCTGTCCGCCCCGCAGCTGCTCTTCCAACCGACGGACCTGTTCCTCCTGTCGGCGAGCCTGTTCCTCTCGTCCGCGCTGCAGCTGCCCCTGTAGCATCGCCATCAGAGCACCTAAGTCAGGTGCTGCAGATGTAGGAGCTACTGACGGGCCCGCAGCCTCCGTGGCTGGCAGTTGACCTTCCGACGTCTGCGGCGTTGCACCACTAAATCTCCTCTGGTCCGTCTCCTGCTGGCGTTGACTTCGGGTACGGACACCCTCCGATTCCTCCTTCGGTAAAATCGGCATGATTTGACCCGACTTCTGACACCAATTGTTACGAGCTTGAGGTTCGTGACAATTAAAAATTGCCGATTGAATTGCTAAAATTAACACTTTAATTCACGTTACACTAATTAAACTTAAAACACTAATAATTAATCACACTGATTCACTTTATTCCGCTCCGAAGCTTCAGAAACATCCAGAATATTCAAGTAAATACGCGCAAGGCGTCGAAAGTTCGAGTGTCGGTTTCTAGAAGCTCAGTTCTTTGTTTCAACACTAGATGGCGCTGTCGGTTGAAAGATTAGTGATGTCATTTTCTGGAAAGTTCCCCCGCGCTCTCGTCCCTGACACAACATGACGTCAACTTAGGCGCGCAACAATATATTATGTAGTGTGCATAGGTATGTTATGAGAGTGACGTAATACGTTTACTACGTTTTATCTTGGTAGGTTTGGAGGTTAAATCTCAACAGATTTTGATGAAAATAAGTATGTAAAAAATGTAAAAGTAAAAAACGTATGTATGTAAAAAAATGTAAAAGTAAAAAAACGTATGTCTATCTATGTCTATTTCTTAGTTCTTGAAGTAACAGACAATACTTTTTGATCCCTGATTAATGCACGGTTCCTGTGGGATAGCTCCTTATATTTTAATATAATTCTCAAATAATACCTACTCAGATATTTTAGTGTGAAGAGAGAACTTGCTCACAACTCATTTTTTAATTCTAAAAACTAAATTTATGGTTGTAAGCTTCTCTTGAACACCAATTTACGCCCGCAGTCCCCATTTGGGCCACTTTTTCAAGTACCCACATTTTTTAACTTATTATATCTATCTTTTATTTGTAGAAGAATTTGTAGTGCCGAAGAGTGTAGCTTTGTAATACAACTTATAGTTTTGTAATATTTATTGGTTAAAGTGGATAAACTTAATTATTTTATTTACATCATTGAGCAACTAGGTGTTTGACCAAAGGTGAGTTATTTTTTTATAGTTACATTTATATTTAGTTTATTTCTTTTGCATGCTTATTTGGCTGCAGTTTATACTAGTAAATAATGCTATTATATCGGGTATTTTCTGAGATTTTCCCATAAGTGGAGGTATTTTAGTATGGTGTCCCCGAATGGGTCCAATGGGCTGATTTATAATATATTTTTGTTATTTATTCGCGGACTCAGTTACGGCGTGAACAGTGACTAAACGATCATTTAAAGTTCTTAATAAGTGAGTATAGAGGACTCGAAGAAGCCTTGGAAAATATTTCAAATTAAAAGGATGATCCTAATGTTAGTTACGATAAAGTGGCCATTCCCCCAGACCCCAGTGTTCTCACGGATAAAGAAGAACGCGATGAAGGTGATGTTCGTGCGACAGATATTGTGAGGGAAAATGGAACAAAAAATGACCAATATTATCTGTCAAGGACATGAGAAAAAAATCGAGCAGAATTTCACAACCGATTCGATACAATACAACCAATCAAATTTTGTTTGTGCGATGGCTTGACAACAGTGCTTGTTCTATTGGTAGGTTTAAATTACGACTTTATTTACCCTCTGGGTAAGTCAAGAAAACGGAGCTCTGCAGAAGGAAGAAAAGTAGATGTGGACATTCTTTTTGTGTTCAAAAACTACCATAAAAGCATGTGCGGAGGTTATCAAGCTGACCAGTCAATCGCAATATACAGAACAGCTATACGAGGCAAATAAGTGTGGTGGGTTCTGTGTACCTAGATGCTTGATTTGGCTGTAGCTGATGCTTAGCGTCTCCATGTCCCGACCACTGAATACAAGAAAGACCAGCTCCAGTTTAGTCGAAGTATCGCCTGTTTCTACTTGAGGGTTTAGTCACTTAAAGACCCGATGGAAGGCGTCGTAAAACTTCTTCAGTAATGCTTATTATGAGTCTTGATGGTGTAGGACACTTTTCTCAGGGATTGCCAAGCCAGCTACGATGCGCAGAATGCCACATGAAAGCACGTTGGCAATGTAAGAATAGCATCAAAACATTGTGCATCGAAAAAGGATGTTTTGAAAAATACCACACATAAACCCATTGGCCCCATTTGAGGACGGTGTTTTTTACACAGAAGAAAGTTTTTTTTATTTTTTATTTTTTAATAAAATTTCTTAATAGCATCCAGTAGCTACGTCAATAAAGTTTTTTACAAAATCATGTAGTTTGTAATTGAGTTCAAATGGGTTAATATGGCTCAAAGCATAGCGTCTTTTAAAGAATTAAGGAAAGATATGTAATTAAATCCGTATTGTACTTAATGTATATTATCCTTTTTTTTTTTTTTTTTTTTTTTTGCGGATGGAAAATCATCTAATGACCCCTTTCGCTCTGGGTGGAGCGTAAGGGAGTGTCGGACTTTTACTGACTAAAAACCATCCGTGTTCCTTCAGTGCCCTTACGTTCCGGAGCCGCGGTATCTCTTTCGAATAGCCCGCAGCCCCGGCAGGCGTCGGCCCTTGCGGGCCCCATCACGCTGCTGACAGCTCTTTGAGGCGCGCGTGGAACAAAACGCGCCGTCGACACGGCCTGTCGTCGTTAGACGGACGGACGACGAGCTACCCATTGCTCGCCGTCCACAGGCCCGCGCCTACGGTGGCCGGGGGCCACGACGTAGCCCCCGACGCCCGGGGCGTCTCCCGCGGCGGCCTGGGAGGAAAGCTGCTGCTCTTTCCTTCTCCCGCTCCGCCACCTCCTTCGCTAGCATCACTGCTTCGCAGAAGGTGGTGACGGCATCCCATTCCGTCTCGCTCCGGACCATGGCTTCGACCAGGGCCGGACGCGAGAGGTCGCCGCCGCCTATCGCCGCTACGAGGACACGGCGGTGCTCCGCCCAAGCAGGGCACACCTCCACGGTGTGTTCCACCGTGTCCTCCGGTCCATCCTCGCAGTGGGAGCACCCGGGCGTTTCCTCCCGCCCGATTCGGTGCAGGAACCTCCCGAACACACCGTGTCCGGTGAGGACCTGAGTCAGGCGGAAGGTGAGGATGCCGTGGCGTCTCTCAAGCCACTCCTCAAAGAGGGGTCTTATCGCCGCTATAGTGGCGTGCCCAGCACGGGGTTGCGACAGTCGCTCTCTCCATGTCGCCATGAGATCGTGCCGGAAGACTGTCCGCTGCGCGACAACTTGCCGCGGCAGCGGGGTTTCCCCCCGGCATAGTGCCTCCGCGCGCCATTCGTGCAGGCGTGCGAGGACTACCGCCTCCAGATCCCATGGCGGCAATCCGGCAAGGAGGCTCGCCGCCTCGCGGGAGATCGTGCGGTAGCCGCGAACCATTTTAACGGCGACCACCCTTTGGGGCGCGTTCAGGTGGTGGACGGCAAGCCGCGCCAAACCACGCGCCCACACCGGGGCCCCGTAAAGGGCCATGGATCGCACGATCCCCGCGTAGAGCCTCCGGCAGGGAGGCGTTTGGCCCCCCCAGGTTCGGCAGGAGTCGCCTGAAGGCAGCCCCGGTCCGTTCCAGTTTGGGAGCCAAACGTCGGAAGTGCTCAACGAAGTTCCATCGGCCGTCGAGGACGAGTCCTAGGTACTTCAGCGTCGACTCGACGCCGATGGATACCCCTCCTACCATTACTGAGGATCCCGGTGGTGGCCTGTTCCGAGGACCATGGAAGTGCATGGCCTCGGACTTGTGCAGAGCCACCTCGAGACCCAGTTGCCGAATCCTCTCAACGACTATCGCAACCCCGCGTGTCATAGTTTCCGCCGCCGCCTCGTACGACCCCCCCTTGTGCCAGTACCAGCGTGTCGTCAGCGTAGCAAATTACGCTGACGCCGGTAGGGAGGTCGGCGCGCAGCACCCAGTCATAACCGATGTTCCACAGAGGTGGCCCCAGAACCGAACCCTGTGGGACACCGCACGACATCTCTCGCCGGTTCCACTCACCGTTGCGACCGGGGTAGATGACGGCCCTGTCCGTCAGATAGTCCCCGACTATACGACGGAGATAGGTCGGCACCCGGTGATACCGGAGTGCCTCCCTAATGCAGCTCCAGGGCATGGAGTTGAAGGCGTTGGCGATGTCAAGAGACACCGCCAAGACAACCCCCCTCTGGCCACTGCATCCCCCGTCGTGAGGGCTCTCACGCGCATGATGGCTTCCACCGTAGAGCGCCTCTTGCGGAAACCAAACTGGTGTTCCGCAAGATCCGGCCCCGTCCCCGCAAGGTGCTCGGCGAGGCGGTTTGCAATGACTCTTTCAAAGAGCTTGCCCACCTCGTCGAGCAGCACCACGGGCCGGTATGCGGACGGAGAGTCCGCAGGGCGCCCCGGCTTCCGAATGAGGACCAGCTTCCCCGTCTTCCAACGAAGCGGGAATTGGCCTCTCTCCAAGCATGCGCTTAGGAGCCCCTCCAGTCGGGGCCCGAGAGCCTCCGAGGCCAGGACCCAGGCTTTGCCAGGCAAGCCATCGGGTCCTGGGGCGGTATTCCTGGCCTTGAGCCTACGTAACGCCACTCTCAGGTCTACCCCGGTCCCTTCCGGGATGTCGTCGTCGTCGTCCTGGTGGTCCGCTTCCGGCACCGCATGTGGCGGAGCCATAGGCGGGGGTGGATGTTCCCGTCGCGCAGGGAACAGAGCGCTCACCACGTCCTCCACGAGCTGGGGCCGGAGACTTTGCGTCAGCGGGGGGCCCAGGTGCGGAGTTTATCCCGCACCATCTTGTAAGGGCGCCCCCACGGATCTCTGTTGAGAGTCTCCAGCATCTCCTCACGGGCCCGATCCCGGGCCCGCAGGACAAGCCTCCCGGAGGGCGTTCTTCGCCGCTCTGTATCCCTCGTACAGCTCCGCCTCAATGGCTGCCGCATTCGGTGGACGAATGCGGAGCCTGCGATGCCTGGTGTACAGGTGCCGCGCGGCGATACACGCCTCGCGCAGAGACGTCAGCTCACGCGACCACCAATACACCTGACGCCGGGCGCTTCCTGGCCGGACGCGGGGCATTGCCACGTCACATATCTCGGACATGGCCTCCTGGAACCACCCTGCCTCATCATTGACGTCGGCAGGCCTGTCCGGTGATGACACCCAGGCCTGCACGATCGAGGCTTCCAGGAGGAGCTCCCGGTCCAGCTGCTTCAGCGCCCAACGCGGACCACTCGGGGCCTGTTGGACTGGCGCGCTCGAGGGCTGGGTGGAGACATCAAACCGGATGTACCGGTGGTCGGAGTAGGTCTCCACCCCCTCCATGACACGCCAGTCAATGGCACGCGGCGACAGAGCGGGGCTAGCGAACGAAATGTCCACCACCGACTCGCCCCGCATCCGCACACACGTGGGGACAGAACCCCGATTTAGGACGACCAGGCCTGTCTCCAGAGCCCAGTCTTCCACCATCCTACCCCGCACATCTGTACGACGAGAACCCCAAGCCAAGTTCTTGGCATTGAAGTCCCCCGAGGACAAGTACGGGGGAGGGGATAACTTCCGACGACGACTGCTCTCAGCTCTGCAAGAGAGTTGTGGAGCTCGGCGAGAGATCGGTTCGGGGAGAAGTACACCCCCACAACGACGAACTCCCCGAACCGTGCTGCTACGCACCCCTGACCCCTCCTGACACCTTCAAGGGTCGGGGTACCGGCGGCGGCCGAAGAGATGATGGCCACTTAGCCGTTAAGGTCCGCCACCCAGTCCTCCCTAGGCCAAACAAAATACGGCTCAGCGACCACAGCTATGTTAATCGACCACTGCGCCATGCTCTGGAGCAACAGATCCTGAGCGCAGGCGCAGTGGTTGATATTCGCCTGGAGGAAGCTTAATGGGGCCGTTATAGGCATTCCATTTCAGCTTCCTCCACGGGGGGCCCCTCTGCGGGCGTCGGTGTCGCGGCGGCGGCGGCGGCGACAGTGATAGCAGTGGCGGT